GTGAAGCTGACCCCCCCACCCGCAGAGAAAGGAAAAAAGGCAGTAATTATTGATAAGGTAACCATGCTGTGGCTTCAGCTGTCACATTTTCTTTTAAAGAAAGAAAAAGTAGCTTGCAAAGCTGTCGCATCGGTGCTACGTGATTAAAAGCAGGGCTGCACGTCTAATCACACACACGTCTTCCTATCTTTGTGAGGACAACACACAGCGCTCAGCCTCGCTCTGCGCCGTCTTTTACCCCAAGTTTGGTGAGAGGTGGGATAGCTCTCGACTTGATCTGGCCTTATTTAAATAAAAATGACTACACGCCGTGAAATTCTTAGAGGGGCGGGCCGTCTTGTTGGCCGGGGGGTCTGTATAATGGTAGGGGAAACACTGTATAAGAAACAAATTTCATGCGGGCCACACGGGAGTCACCCGCGGGCCACATTTGGTGTGTTTGACACGAGCTGTAAATTATATTGTTCTCAATAACTTAGCTTGAAAACYCATAAAAAGAATGAGAGAAAGAAACAAACTATGTTCCCTAATGCAGAGGTCCTCAAACTGGGGTCCACAAGCCTTGTCTTGGGGGTCCTCAAAACGTTTCAATAAATTGTTAATATGGTTTTTATTTTATAAAATGCACGTAGGGAATAAAGCACTAGTAAAACAAACATAATAAATCAAACAAAAAACAATATTAAGATGGAATTTAGGGGATAAAATAACTGTCAATTTTTTTTTGCATTAACAATGTGGGATTTATGAGGGGGTCCCTGGAATTTTCACCCTTGTAAGGAGACCCCAGACCCAAAACGTTTGAGAACCCCTGCCCTAATGTACCATAGTAACTGGTTTCCACAAAAATACCAGGATTAGAGAAATCTCCTAGTAATTAGGTTGTGAGTCTGCAGACTGTGAAGTGTGATTTTGCGTGGCTTCGCTGTGTTTATTTTTGACCACAGGTGTAACTCGTGTCCTACCTGGTTGAGTGTAAGGGTCTTCAAAAGCGTCTAACCAATAAAAGCGGAAGACCTGCTCTCCGTCTGCACCCTCCACCAGGGGGAGCTGGCTGGAGTCCACCTGCACCTCCACAGGAGCCACTTCGCTCTCCTCTTGTCCCCACGCTCCTCCAACCCTTTTAAGGACAGCGTCACATCAGCAAAGTCATCCTCAACGGCGGACAAACACAGTCAGAGAATAAATACTGCAGCTGAATAATAATACTGACAATAAAACGGGGTCTTTGGCTTTGACTGTCGGCTCCTTTTTAACCGCAGTCACTGCTTTGGGTTCAGGCTCAGCTTCTTCTTCTTCARCCACAGGCTTATCCTCGAGTTCAACCTCCATCGGTTCATCAAAGTTCACCTCGTCCAAGGCCAGGCAGTCGTTTTCTAAAATAAATCGATAAAAATACAGAAAATACAGATCTGATCCGTGTGTTGCAAGACTGCAAAGCTGTGAGCCGTCCTGACCTTCCTCTTCTTTCGGCTCCTCCAGCTTTAATCGGCGCTCCTCCGCGGGACGATCAGACACRGAGGGATGAGGGCGGGTCGGCGGTTTGGGGGTGGGGTCTGAAGGTGGCGGTCGGATCACTTTAGCCTTTAACCGTGGAGCTGAAGGCGGCTCCTGCTGTGAGAGGTTTTAACTGTCTTTAGTTGTGTTCTAGAGACTTTCAAACCCAGCTGTAAATAAAAATAAAATCTCAAGGACCTGGGTGTACCTTTGAAATCTGTGGTTTGATGGAGAAGGGATTCATGGGTGATGCCACGGACTTCTTCTTCTTTAGAGTGACCACAGGTGGAGGAGCGAGGAGAGGTGGTTTCTGGAGCACAAGTTTAATAATATATCAGATAAGATAAGATAAGATAAGATAAGATAAGATAAGATCCGGAATGAAATTTAAGACCAAAACGATGCATTAATAAAAACATTCAAATGGTCCCAGAAATTTTTACATAAAAACCTTTATTGCTACCAATTTACTTATTAAAGAATTTTTATTTTTAATACGAGAACACTAAATTATTTTAATGAAACAGTCATATCTATGAGACCTTCATATCGACTGCGGTGGACCAAGTGCTTCCAACTTAATGTAAAAATCACTGATATCCAGCCAAGTCTCACTGAAAACACACTTCCCCATGTTTAAACCACAAACAGTGGACATGACTGAACTTTTTTGGGGCAGGTGAACAAGCCGATGTATAAGGGGGGGTTTTAACGGCAAAGAGGTCAAAAACATGGAAGTAAACTGYGCCATTTRTTGCCTGCAGTTATCATTGGATTTGTAGTTTAAYGTGYACCAAAACCGGTAGCAAACTTAGCACTTTATGAAGACAGATCGCATCAACCTCTGATTATAGCACTTAACTCTTGTTCATTTACGCAGCCAACGCTTATCTGGAATAATCGAAAGTAGAAAAATTAAGACTTGATAAAATTAAATTTAAGACCTTGGACAAAAATCTGGGCATTTTTAAGACTTTTTTTGGCCTAAAATTTTGATTTTCAAATGTTGGACTTTTTAAGACCATGCATGAACAATGCGATAAGATAAGATAAGATAAGATAAGATAAGATAAGATGCATGTTGCTGCAGCTCAGTACAGGATAGAGATGTGACGTTCGTGAACGATCCAAATCTTTTGAACGGCTCTTTACAACGAACGATAGGAGCCGGATCRCGGGCATTAATGAGCCATTTGTAGTTTTATTTCTTTTATTCCTCATATAATCGTTATTTTTTTCATACTTAAATCGCTCCCGCTTTGCTTTTTCATGGAAAACAGGCGGAGTTGTGGAGTACAGAAGCTCACGGTGAAAGGGGAAGTGGGGTTTCCGCTTGACAAACCCATGGTTCCACCCACGTGACGGGATGACGTCATTACGTACGGCTACGTGATGACGTATTGCCCTACGTGATGATGTAATACGTTCAAGATCGAACGGCTCTATGAAACAAACGGCTCCCCGAGATCTGAATCCCTTCAAAGAGCCATTTATCCCATCTCTAGTACAGGAGAGGGTGAAATAAAATAAAGAAGAAAGACAAATAAAGGAAAGAGGAAAAATAGAAGAAAACAAAAGCTTAAGAGTGTAGGCTAAACAAGCCATCGAAAACACAAACTGAAGCTTTGTTTTCATTAGCGGCTACAAACCTCAGCATGCAGATCCTGTAAAATGTCTCCCAGCAAGTCATCTTTGGATAAATCAACATCTTTCTGTAAGTCAAAGGAACAAAAAAAAGAAGAAAAATCACTGAAATTTCAAAAAGAAAAGCTTGTTCTTCACAGGCGAGCCTCAAAGACCAGCGTCTGTAAACACAGACCTCTGCAGGCCTCTTCACGTTGCTGTTCATGAAGAGACTCTTGATGGTGTTCGGTTTGGATACGACAGATTTCTTGACAGTTTTCTTCGACTCGCCTCCTTTAGCACCTCCTTTTCCTGCTAGAACAAGTACTTTTGTTCAGTCAACATTAAAATAATTATGAAGAAAAAAAATCAAGAGAATTCTTACCTTTGTTTTCGACCACGTCGTCGTCTAAATCATCGTCAAAGATTTCTCGCCCGTCCTCCACATATCCTGTGCCATCTGAAGGATGAGAAGCAYTATGAGGATTTCCACTGATTAGTTTCTCTTAAAGAAGTTTAACAAGATTGTGTTTAATAAGGTTAACGTTTAACAACATTCAGCWGAGTGTTTTCAAAGGCATGATAGGTGTGTCACGATCATTTAAACTAATTTAATAAACTTGTTAATACTGATGCTACCAATACTCATGATGCTACTGGGCTTTCTGAATATACCTCTGGAACTAATAAAAGTATTTATCCATCCATCCATCTAAACAAGACAAATCACTGCAGTAGATTCAAGAAGCTGAACTTCACCGTCATCAATGATCCAGTCATCCTCYTGTCTCTCTCGTACCATCTTCGAGTACTGCGCCTCATCCACCTCCTCATACACACTGACGAGGTCCTCCACCTGGAAAAYACCGGCACAGCTTAGAACACATTACCYGAGTTCCCAAAAGTTMATGAAAAACAAAAAAGTGATGAAATTCCAGGTGATATTTTAGGGGTTTTAGAGGAAATCAATAGTCAAGAGTTGACAGGAAGTATACTGCAGCTTACGATACATGCATACAACAATCATTCCTAATGAATACATTTAATATATAACAGATAAACACTAAAATATAGCCAATCAATAAGGACACATGTACACTGCAGAAGCAGAACATGAACTCAATTTTAGTAGAATACTAATAGTAATAWATGAACATGTCAAAATCTCAAACAYCTTTTTAATTAGCAGATCAGTGCTCAAACTCCAATGTTTCCGTGACGTATAGTGTCACTGTGAATCCTGATAAAAATATACAGATTTATTACCTCATCCTGAAGAAATTCACAACCAAATTTTACAAATTTCAAAGTAGATGAAAAGATTTAAATTTAGTCTTTATTTGTGACCAATTATATCAAAATGAGGATTAAGTCAAATTTGGTTAAAATGACCTCATTATATTTTCAGATTCCTTCTTTAAAAGCTACATTTTGATTCCTGGATCATTCTGATATCATCAGTTTTTTTCCAGAGATATGACTTAATTTGTCTCGTTGGTTACAATAACACATCACTGTTTGGTCTGAATCCTAATTTAGTGTAAATTTATGGAGTTATTTTTGATGTCAATTTAAAGAGGAAACCTCAAATAGTATTTGTATATTAAAATTTCCCAGATGGAAAGAAACAAAAACATTGCTAGCTGACTGGGAAAAATTCTAAATTTTAAGGCGTTTTTCC